CCAGAGATGATGGCCTTAGGGGGTGGGCCTTGGGGAAGGGCTTAGGTCAGGAGGGCCCAGGGGTGGGATTAGTGCTCTCACGAAAGAGATGTCACAGGGGCCCCGAGCCCCTTCCCTCTCCCGAGGGCCCAGCGAGCGGCCTGCGTGGGGACTGTGCCGGCTCCTTGGTCTTGGACTCCAACCTCCAGAGCTTTGCACCGCTGCTGCCATAAGCCACCCAGGCTGTGGTGTTTTTAATACCGGCCCCAAGGAACCAAGGCTCAGGTTTCTTTGAAAGAATGGGAGAGGGCATTTGTCTTCTTAATAGAGAAACAAAACAAAAAAGCCAGCATGCTCTGCATATCGTAGCAGGCCATGCCATTTACAGAGAGTGGGAAACATTCTACATAAAGCATGAAATCGTTGTTGTATGTGTCTGGGAGGGGAGCTGAAGCATTAAGGAACATACCAAGGAGCATCCATCAAATACTTATTGACCGCTTGCCGCCTGTGAGTTTAGAGCCGACCCAGGAGCTCCAGCAGAGAACTAAACATTCGTGTTTCTTACAAACCCGGCCTGGATCGCGCGTCCGGGGCCCAGTGGACGGGGCGATCCTTCCCACGCGCGTGAATGGCCCTCCTCTCCTTCGGCGCACGTATTTCATCTTCCCCGCTCTCAGGCTCAGCTAAGTCTTTCAGCCGCACTTTCCTCGAATGTTCTTTTTTTTTTGAATGTTCTTTTTTTTTGGTTCCTCATCGTAATCCGTGGTCACAATATCGTTGTAAATCTTACTAGAATCGGGGGGGATCAGGAGCAGGAGGAGGGGGCTGGGAAAGCTGGCGGACTTCATGAAATAGCCCCATCCCGTATTTGGGTACTGATTTGAAACCGCATTTGAATGAAAATCATTGCGATATACAGAATTTTAGACTAATTTTATAGGTGTTAGGTTAGGTAAAATATGTAAATATGCACACATGTATGTATATATGTATATGTGTGTGTGTATTTACATATGATATATATAATGTGTATATCTGTTTATACATCCATGTATATAGATATCTACATATCTATTTACATAATATATATGTAATTGTTAGTAAAATATTTACTACTGCTCCATGGATACTCAGGATTCAATCGGGTTGTATAAGATCTTCATCTGATGGAGAGTGAACTTATAATGTCTATCTTTAGCACTATAATACAAAATATTTCCATGATATATGAAAGAAAATGTTTTTAAAACACTTTTTTTTTTAAAGACAGAGGACATATTATCTTAGAGAAGGGGTTGACAAAGCTTTCCTGTAAGGAGCAGACAGTAAATATTGTAGGGCGCTAGGACCATGAAGTCTGTCTGCGTGGCGACTCCTTCGCTCGGCCGTTACCTATGGAAGTGGCCAGAGGCAACGTGCAAACCTATGGAAACCCACCTGCCCTTCTGCGGGAAGCATCGGGAATCATCGTGTCTGTAAAGATGCATGCTGTTTGCTTTTGTTTGATTTCAAGATTTTAGAATATCGGATCTCGAAATCCAGTTCTTACGGTGATGAATTTTTTTTAAAGAGCTGAGAAGGGTGTCATAAAGGCCGGACAAAAATCAGAATTCCCAACGAAAGCGAGTCACTGGCATTGCTCAGCCACGTCTCTGCACATTTCTGAAAACACAGCCCACAAATATCCAAACTTTCTTCCACTGTTCTACTAACAGACTACACTACCTAATGTTTTTTTGTTTTCCCAAGCCATTTTATATTATTCTATTAGAATGAGAACATGAAAACAAAACAGAAACAAAATCTCTCATTCCTAGCGAAAGAAAAATGGTCATGGGAAGAAATCCAAATTCAATAAAGCCTTGCATCCAGGAGAAGTCTGCGCGGCCTGGGATGAGTAATGGCTGGCACAGGAGCTCTGCTGCACTGAGAAAATCGGGTCGAGAAAAGCCTTCGGCGATCTTTGTTTCCCAAAACTTCTGAACGAAATAAATCAGATATTAATTCCTACAGTGTATTGAAACTTGTCCCACACACTGCATCTTTATTTTATGCTGCTGATTTATTTACTTATTCTATACACACCCAACTCGAGCTGTTTCATGGTTTCATATATTCCTTACAGGTCTTACACTTTTATGGAATAGTCGTATGTTTAAATTCCTTTTTTACTAGAAATAAATGTGGTTCTTTTTTATTGTTTTTTTAAAAATGTTCTCTCTTTTTTAAATTGATTTCAGAGAGAGGAAGGGAAAGAGAGAAACATCAATGCTGAGAAAGGGCATCGACTGGCTGCCTCCTGCTCGCCCCCTGCTGGGCATCGAGCCCACAGCCCGGGCCTGTGCCCGGCCGGGAATAGAAACGCGATCTCCTGGTTCATAGGGTGACGCTCGACCGCTGAGCCACACCGGCCAGGCTGAACGTGGTTCTTAATGATATACACTGTAGGGCAAAAGTAGGCTTACAGGTGTGAGTATACGAAACAGTTTATTCTTGTATTATTATTTATTAGTTATTGGATTGTTTCCATACAAACAACTGTGAGCCTACTTTGGCCCACCCTGTGTCATACCCTGCTCTCTGCTCAGCTGCAGTTTCCATTTTTCCACTCGCCCTTGAAATGTGCCCTCAGTTTCTTTTTTTGTGACACGACATCCAGATCTCGTGGTTCCAAGAGCACCGACGGTCGCCATCCCGCCTGCTCAGATCCCCCCTGAGCTTCGGAGGTAAAAGCCCTGCTTTCTCTGCGCTGGTTGAGCGGGACTCTCAGGGTCCGCGTGTTTATCACCAAACCCCCTGACCTGCCTCCGGACCCGCCTCGCCCTCTTTCGTGCCCTGTTTTGTTGGATGGGTAGAGCCACCTACTTCAGTGGCTTACAAACTGCATTGAACCCAAACCTGAAGCATAAAGTTCATTATACTTAAGTAACAGCGTCTTCCACCAGCCATGACTCTCTATTTGGGAACGTTCCCTGAAAGTACGCAGGCAGATGTATATAAAAATCTTATCGTAGAAGAAATAAGAAATCTTAAGGGATCCATAAAATAACAAAACTTACGGCAGTGCTCAGAGGAAAATGTATAGCTCTGAGTGCTTGTATTAAAAAAAGATCACAGTCCTTAAATCATAACTTACCTGTTTTCTCTGTGAAACTCAAAGAAGGTCACAGTAAACCCAGGCAGACAGGAGGAAGGAAATAGCGATTACAGTGGAAAATCAATTAAAGAAAAAATAAGAATACGCAGAAAACCCGAAGTTAGTCATTTTTTGAAAAGATCAACAACATCGACACGCTTTTAGCTAAACTAACGGGGGAGAGAGAGAGAAAACAGACTAAGAAAGTGAAAAAAACATCTCAGAGAATGGAAAGAGGCATCTGTATGTCATGTAACTGAGAAGCGACCGGCATCCAAATATATAACTTACTCTTACAACCCAGTAACAAAAATAAAAACAAGTTAAAAACGCGTGAAGAATTTGAATAGACGTTTCTCCAAAGAAGACGGCCACTGAACATTTAGCACACGGAAAGGAGGGTGCTCGGCATGGTCAGTCACTGGGAAATACGAATTCCAACCGCAAGCAGGGGCGCTCCACGCCCCCCAGGGTGGCCAGGCCCCAAGGACGGGCCCAGCGACGGGCGAGGCTGTGGGGCGGTGGAGCGTCGCCCAGGGCCGGTGGAAACGGGACATGCCGCGGCCACTCTGGGGGGCAGTTCGGCAGCACCCCAAAACGGCAAATACAGTTGCTGCAACTCATCAGTTTCACTCTCAGGTCTGCTCCCAAGTAAACTGAGAACATACGTCCACGTTCAAAAACATACCAGGGTGTTGACAGCACCGTGACTCATACAGGCCCCAAACTGGAAACACCCTAAATGCCGTCGAGCGACGGCTGGATAAACGCCATGTGACAGGCCCGGGCGACCGAGGAGCCAGTCACAAAACACTGTGGGGTTTCATTCATACGAAATGAACCCAGGCGGAGCCCTGGGGACAAACAGTAGGTCGACATGCTTCTAGAGATACACAGCCTCGGGCCGGGAGTTAACTGCTAATTGGGACTGGATTTGTTTTGGCGACAATAAAAAAGATTTCAGCTTAGATTGTGGCGATGGCTACACACATTTGGAATATCCTAAAATCCAACGAATTGAAAAATAGGCCAATGATTTATTTTGAAATTGAATTTTTAAAAATGTACAGATTTCCAGCTGCTTTTTTTTTTTTCCAGTGGAAAAAAATCTATAATTATAGATTTCTCCTCTTAATGATTTAAGCGTCAAGTCAAAATGCAAGCATTTTATTACACAGAGAGTGCCAATGCACACCCTCTGCAAGATCATTCTATATTTTCCCTTCGCTCTTCATTGTGACGTGTTTTTAATCTGACTTCAAATAAATAAATACAATTTTTATGGCCTTGGTCAATACATCTTCAAGTAGCAAAGCTGCAAACTGTGCTTCTCGAAATTAGCTCGGACACAGTATTTTACCAGCCTGTCATCGCTCCCATAAGTCGTTAGCAACTTGCCCAGCAGTTCTCAGGGATTCCCGTTGCCTACGCCTTATGGCACCCTGAGCACCAATCGCGGAAAAATAAACTTTACACCCGTTTAATTAAAAATCACAGACGAAGAGGTTTCCCCCTCCGACCCCGCTTCTTTCCCACGCTTACAACACAACCCTAAGGCCTCTCGATTCTGCGCTCCCTGGGATACAGTCATTAATGGACTCCACGTGGAAGGAGTCGGGCTGGCCTCTCAATTTTAATAACAAAAGCAAAGGGAAAAAATCAGAATTTGTTAGCCTGCGTGTTCTGCTTTGCGGGCCGTTGTTCCCTTGCCCCGGGAGAGAACCACGATGCGTTTTTACTCTGGGACCTGGGAAAACGCGGGGTGCTTTCGGATCACGTCCTGCACCGAGAGGGGCGCCACGCCCGTCCCCCACCCGTCCCCGCACCCGTCCCCGCACCTGCGAGCAAACAGCAGCCCGGGTGGGCACCGCAGCGCGCCTACCTCTGCCTGGGCAGGCTGATCAGGGGCTGCCGGTGGCACCGCTTGCTGAGGCTGAAGAGCTTGTGCACGACCTTCTGCGCCTTCAGGAACAGCTGGCTCAGGCTGCCGTGCAGCTGCTCGTGGCGCCGCTGGAAGCTGGGGTCCATGGTCCACAGGTGCGCGAGGGCCGAGGCGTTGAGGAAGTGATGCCCGGGCAGCCTCTTCAGGAACAGCTTGAACTCATCTGGGGACGGCCAACACCCAACACTTAATCGCGAGCAATCGCCCCCCGTCTTCTCCCAAACGCATTTCACACGTGCATATTAAAAAACCAGTATGTGCAATTTGTGAGTAGCGAATTCATAGCATTTTTGTGTCTGTGTGCTTTATCTATACATATATATATTGGCAAAATACATATCTATTGGCAAAAATGAGGGATGAATTCACCACCACTACCTATGGTGAAAGTTCATTCAAAGACCATTTGAAGGAAAACATGGAAAAAATAAGTTTGCTTAAATTTTCTGCCCAACCTTTTGCAGAAAGGACCAATATATATATATATATGTATATATATATATAGGTCCTCTTAAAATAAGGCTTTCAGGAAAGAAGGTAATTAAAATAATTTGTGCTGAAGCAAAAGGTTGGGCAGAAAATTTAAGCTAAACTTAGTTTTCCCTCAAATGGTCTTTGAAGGAACTTTCACCATAGGTAGTGGTCGTGAATTCATCCCTCATTTTTGCCAATAGAATAAATAAACCTTCCCAAGTGCTTTATGTCAGAGAAATATCGTCAGACATTTTTATTAGCTTAGTATAGAATATATGTAGTATTATGAAGCACATTTATTACCATTTCAAGAAAGAGGGAAATTCTTTTAAATAGAAAAGTATAAGATTCAACTCTACTACACTCGGATTATTCTCTTTAACTGACCATTTGCAATTTGTTAGGGCCTAACAGTTTAAAGCATACATGGAAACTTTTTAACAACATAACAGAAGATTATATTCATGGACATTAGGGTTGTTATTCCTTCTACAACAAATAAATACAGGGCCCTGGCATCTTTGGGACATTGCAGGTATAGACTTTTTCTAGGAAATGGGAACAAATAAAACCAAAGGGAGAAAAATAACATTTTACAGCAAATAATTATGAGGAAAGATGTTTGAGGATTCATCCATTTGATATGCTTCAGATTAGTTTTTAAAGTAAGCAGGGTATAAATAAGAAATGCATTTTAAAACTCCAATTTCACAGTACCCTACGCTTTGTTTGGTCCCATATGTCTCTTTTGAGAGTTTCCCTCTTTTGAATAAAGGAGCTGATGCGTGGGAACTGGGAAGCATCCCTGGGATTAGTCTCAGAGCAGATGCCGCTACTTTGAAAACTAATCATTCATTTCATTGTCATCTTTTACTTGAGCACTTTTGATAAGCCTTCATTGTTTCGTGGGCTTGCATATTTTAACTCTTTTCATTGTCTGCTGTAATGGTATTCTGGAAGTCTCTAAATCAGCAAATTATATTCGAGGTAAAGGATAGCTTAAAATAGAATTTAATTTTATCAAAGAGTACATAATTGTGCCAGCTGAAAACGGCCACTACGTAATTTCTGAGAAACACAGTTTTAACATAACACTTGAATAATTACTTCATGATAAAGTCATTAAGAGTCACCACTGACAGTCACCCAAACCATTTATTGGACACCTGTTGTACGCAGAACATACAGATGTTTCAGTCTATGAAAGTGAATCCGAATAAGCCTTTCATCTTATTTTTTAAAAATGACAAATGACATGAAATATTTTCAAGTGTGAGAAGAATATCTCCAGAGCCTGAAACCCATTCTACTTAGATTCCTGGGGAGATTTTTTTTCCTCTCATCTATGGCAATTGGTAAAATTTTATTTACAGGATATAAAAATGAAATTTGAATGACACATTAGAATTATTATATAAGTTTATTGCTTTTTTCCCTTTCTTCTTAATCCACTATTGCTTTTCTTTTTTAAAAAAAAATTGTTTTTATTGATTTTAGAGAGAGAGGAAGTGAACGGGAGAGAGAGAAACATTGGTCGGCTGCCTCCTACAGGCCCCCAACTGGAAATCGAGCCTGAGACCTGGGCATGTGCCCAGGAATTGAACCAGCAACCTTCTGGCGTATGGGATGACACTCAGCCAACTGAGCCCCACCCGGCTGGGCCCACTATCACTTTTCAAATGGCAAATAAACAGGGACTAGCCAGACTTTGTGGGGAAAATACAGCTATAAAAGAAAACAAAGCAATCTCATGTAATCTGGAAATATCCGGTTAAGTGTGTACCAATTGAATATTTTTTCCCTGTATAATCTTGAGGACTACAGAGAAAATAACACTCACCACGATACTAACAACCATAATAAACATTCTCTATGCTGGCAGGAATTTATAGTCACTCCATCTTCTTAAAAAACTAATTCACACAAAGCAAAGAGTAAGGGAAAGGGAAATGCATGATATTAATGAATTCTGTGGAGGCAAAGAGAATCAGGCCAGGCGGCATGTTTCCAATAAATTACAGAAGACTAGCTAGGCACCATGTTGACTCTTTGGACTACGACTACTCCATTAAAAATAAAGTATTTTTAAAAATAGCTTAACCAGGTCTGCCTACCCTCCCCCTTCCCCTGATGGAAACTCTAGTAAACACTTGATACCTAATTAGCTAATTTTAAATTAATGATCTGTCTCTCTCTATTAATGTGAGTTCTTACTTTGGGCAGGAACTCTTTTAAGTGCTTTAAATATTAATTCAATTCCCCCAATAACACTTCATGTAAATTTTATTGGAGTAGATTTGTAAGTCGAATGCAAATTATCTTTAGTTTCCTAACTCTAACGTCAGCAGAAATATTATTAACACTAATGTATTTACATATTGATCTCATGTAATAATATATTATTTACGCTCTTTATTCTCATGGTTCACAGTTGAATTAAATAGATGAGAGTGGGGAACTGAACATTTTCAGGGTGTAAGCCATGAATACATATATCCTGATTTGTGTTTCTGTCTGTATTGAAGGGCATGGAAAACATTGACCAATACAATTGATTACTTATTTTAAAATATTCAGAATCTCTCTTCAGAGCTGCTTTAGAATTTATTTTCAAAGATATCCTAAAGCGATAAGCTAATAAAACAAATATTGCTCCCTTATGCTGAACTAGTGTGGTCTTATCTAACCACGAATATATGGCAAATGTACTCTCTTTCTACAGCTAGATTCCTATTAATCTGTTGGCTTGTTTATTTCATCTACAGTAAGTTTATACTTCTATTCAAGTACCTCCAACCTGATAAATAAACATCAAACTGTATCTACCATTGACCTTCAAAGTTATTGCCCATCCAGAATACCCTCGAATAAAGATACTTCTTATTCCTTGAGAGCCACATTTTCCCAGAAGAGAGTATGGATTCTTCTCTCTTCAGTGGCAAAGACTGGCCTAAAAAATAAATTAACTGCAAATCTTGACAGGACGGCAATGCTGACCTTAAGTAGGTAAGAAACACGACTGATAAACAAGTGGGAATATGAATGGGAAGGACTGATGGGAAGAGACATCGTGAGGGGGAGTTCTGTCCTGAAGGCAGATAGTAAGTAAGGTGGAAATGAAAATCCGACCCTTGAGGAAGTACAACCAACACAAATTTCGACCCACTCCATAATTCTGACTAGAACTGGTTGATTTTTACTTTTACAAAGATTTTTTTTTTCCTCCAAACATTTGGAAGGGGTCATTTAAATGATTTGTATAAGCTGAGAATTTTTTCAGCTTCTCCATTAAATCATTGACACGACCTGAGTGGCCACATATCCATGTGAGTCTATTTAAACCATTCTATAAGCCACAAGTATAATTTACACTGATATTGACAAAATACTCTAATGCTGTATAAAGTTAAAGGCAAGCCTGTTCAATCACTTGTGAGCTGGCTGATTTTACAAGGTGGCAAAGTGATGGGTACCAGAGGGCATAAATCAGAAACCGATCCTAATTCTTTAGTAGCTGACTCAAAATAAATTGTTTTCCTGGACTGTTTTCTTTTTCTCTGAAAGGTACACCGTATTTTGTATTAAAATACTTTATTATGGTAAGCCAATTAATCTGTCCTTCATTGGACTGCCTTGTTGACAAACCTCCCTCCTAGAGTTTGAGAAATTACCCAAACAGAGCTTTATCTCGAAGTATAAAGTCTGCAAGACTCAAGTCTTCACTTTCTTGGTGCCCTTACAGAGGAGAGGCATCATCCAAGCTATTAGACATACCCACCCAGAGCCAGAATCTTAAGCTGTTGATGCAACAACAAAGACAAGGCCTAGAGCCATTTCTTAAGAGGTGGTGATAACAGCAGCAATGGTGGAGTTCAGTGCAATCTAGTGTTCATTGTGGTTAGCAGTAATGATGTCATGAAATAAGTCACCTGTAAGATTTTTTACTTTGTCCTGACTAGGTAACACTAGTGCTTCTCTAGCTTTCTTGGTGATTCTATGTGATTTCTTATCAGGTTAGGTCAGATAGAGCCTGTTTTTTATATCTGCAGCAATGCACCTGCACCAATAGAGGTACTGATATAAGAAACAGTCTGGAAATAGTCTCTGTGGGCAACAGAAAGAATATGTACTTGGTTTCCTGGACTAGTTGGGTGAGGGGAGGCTTTTTAAATCCATACAGATGTGCCAGATTCACTGGCTCCTAGATGCCCTCGAAAAGTGACTGAGGGACTGTTCTTGGCGTCGCCTCTGAGCAGAATCTCGAGTCCCCCTGCTGATTCCATGACCTCCCCAATCTGATGTCGTTACATAAATTACTTCTTAGCTGCAGTCAGATTCGATTCTTGCAAAAATGTGGACTGGTACAGAGCTAATCATGGCCTCAAAGGTACGTATACTCCAGAGCTCACAAGAGTCCAGCAAATATTTACTGAGTGTCTACTGTGGGCCAATCACTGTGCTAGTTCAGTATTAAAACTACAAAAATAATCATTATTGTAACTCTAATAGTGCTTCATAGGTTTTCTGTGTAGATGAGATAACCACCGTGAAAACATAATAAAGTGACTTTTGCATAATTAGTAATAAACGAATGCCAGGTATTATTTCCCTTTTTATAGTTTATTCAGTGTTTGCATGTGGGCTGTGCTGAGCACTAGGCCTGGATCATCTCATTTAATGCCTACAGCG